TATTTTATAATTTAATATTATCCAATTTGAACAACAATTTTTTTCATATTCAAACTCACGAATATCTTTCCAATGATACTTACCAACGGATGGATACTTGGTAGGGAACTTTTTTAATTTAACTAAAAGTATTGATTTCAAGATCTAAAAATACAGTTTCGTTAAAATTCATGAGGAAAAATTTTACTACCTATTGAATCCTACTTGTCTCGAATTCAAATTAATCGATAACTCAATAAACCTTTAAATATCAGATGGTTCATACAAAAAAAAAATCTTTCCAATAACCCCTTTGATTCTAATAATTTATTCTTAAATTTTAATATTTAAATTCAATTAATTAAAATTCAACTTTTATTAATTACTTAAAAAATTTCACCCCCTTTACCCGTCATGTTAAAAAAAAATAAAAAGAAAGGAAACTCACAAATATCTCCCTATATTCTTCTTTCTTTTCTTCCAATCTCGAGAATTAGGTGAGCCTAAAAGACCTATTTACTAAGAAAAAGTCAATGGATTCAATCATCTTACTAAATTTCATGATCAACGGCTGAGATGTTAGGGCATGCTTACGCCTCAGAAACACCGGAATATTAAATAAATCAAAATCTGTAACATTATTAAAAAGATTTTATCCCCGCTACTAATAAAATAATAAATTCAGAAAATTCACTCATCTTAAGCGCCTTCCTTCCCTTCTTCCTCCAACTTGCCAGCCTGCCCCCAGCATCTCTCTTCTTCCCTTCTGTTTTTTTCTTTACTTTTCCAATTTATTGAGTTAAGATATCCATTAAAAGAGGAAGAAAATCAATGGACTAATTGTCCCCACAAATTCCATTCAAAAGTTCTCTGCTTTTTTATTTGTGGGTTCTTTTTATTTTTATTTTTTACGGAAGCACAAAAGTTCGTTGAGGGGGGGGAAGGGAAAAAAAATGGGTTCAGGAGAGAGGAAAAGGGGTGCTGGGTTGTTGGGAGTTTTGGTGTTGTCAGTCTTTGCTGTGGCGGTGGCGGCGGCAGCGGCGGCGGAGGCGACGGCGGATCGTGGAGTGAAGGGACTGCAGACGCCGCGGCGCAGAAACGCGTATGCTTCGATGATGTACATGGGGACGCCAAGAGACTACGAATTTTATGTAGCGACACGTGTGTTGATCAGATCGCTGAGCCGTCTCGGCGTGGACGCTGATCTCGTCGTCATTGCCTCCTTTGACGTCCCTCGCCATTGGGTTCGTGCCCTGTAAGTCCCCAAGAATTCCGCTTTTCTATCCTTTCGTCCTTATACTTTTATAGAGTTCGATCAAAAGTATTGTGAAGATAGACTTGTTTTCTCATCCAAATTACAAAATATCCCCCCAAAGAAATAATCGTAATTTTCAATTTTTTAAAAATATGGTATAGTTTGATTATATTCTACTCTATTATATTAATTATTGATGTGATTGAATTTTTTTATATACGATCTTTTTAAATACAGTTTTATCATTTATTATTATTATTATTTTATTTATATATGGATAATGATTATATAATATGGATAACCCTTCCTTCTTTGAATCCCTCCACACCCATCCATGATTTGAAGAGATTTCTTACTAAAAATTTCTATATTTGAAATTCAAACTTTTTAACATTGATATTTTCCAGGGAGATATTTGTATGGGACATTGGCTTTTACTTTAGGGAATATTAGAATTTTTTTTTAATTTTTTATAAAGAACAGGTCAGGATATACTTATCACATATAATTATAAGAATAATAATAAACTTTTACCATAATTAAAACGTATTTTTGGTAACAAGACATTAGATAGCAAATTAAATCAATAGCTCTCCATTTCTAAAGGGAATTATAGCCCATATTCACACGTGCCATCTCTTAGTTGGCAAGATCATGAATTCAGTTGACTGAGTACACAAGAGAAACATAGAAAGTTGTGTTTAATTAATCTTCTTATAAAGTTGCAATTACTACGTTTTACCCACCATTAAAATATTGTAGCAATGGGTTTTAGCCTAAGTACTGTCTTTCTGAAAAAAATTTATTATAATTATAGAAAGCTACACAAAGACAGTAAAGTATGTTGTGTCTTTTTTTTTTTTTTTCAATGCTACTTTTGTTACCTCAGAAACCATTAATACAGTTTTTCCCCAGTTTCCCATTATAAGTTTTCACTGTACCTAAAACCGTGTGGATAGTTTGATTTGATGGGGTCCCATGTGACCCTGATGTTATATTGGTAGATCTAGCTCGGGTGGAGTTTGATTTGTTTCTGAAAACGAACCAATTCACTGACTTGGTAGTCGCTATACATATGAGGTTAGATCATTGTAGTATTAGTCAAAGCAGAAGCATGTGGGGCAAGATTGTTTGGTGCTTTCTATCTAGACATTGAAAAATTGTGTAGATAATTTTATATATTCAGAATGGGTTTTTTTATTTTATTATTTTCCAAGTACAATTTAAAATTTTATAATCATATTGATATGCATAGAGTGAATGCATAAGCAAGAATGGACCAAACCATAAGGTGCTGTGGTAAGCGAGATTTAGTGTGTTCACATTGTGTGTGTAACCCTTTATTGACTCTGTATAATCGATGGGCTCTGTATTGATGTAGGGAACAGGAAGATGGAGCGAGGGTGGTAAGAGTGGAGAATTTGAACAATCCATACAAGGACCAAGCCAATTTCAACCGGAGATTCAAGTTGACACTGAACAAACTCTACGCGTGGAATCTTGTGGATTATGACCGAGTTGTCATGCTTGACTCTGACAATCTGTTTCTCCAAAAAACCGATGAGTTGTTCCAATGTGGCCAGTTCTGTGCTGTATTTATCAACCCCTGCATCTTTCACACTGGCCTATTTGTATTGCAGGTAAATCTTTTACCATAGAAAAGCGTTGCCTTAATTGGGTTAAAATAGTAGATTCTGATTAATCCTCTCTATTTTCAGCCATCGAAAAAGGTGTTCGATGACATGATTCATGAATTGACAATTGGGAGAGAAAACAAGGACGGTGCTGATCAGGGTTTCATCGGTAGCTACTTCCCTGACTTGCTTGACAGTCCAATGTTCCACCCTCCCATTAATGGCACAAAGCTTGATGGACAATATAGACTTCCTCTGGGCTACCAAATGGATGCCTCTTACTATTGTAAGTAGAGCAGTAATGATATAGATATCTTATTTTCTCTTTACCAATTTCAGCAATTTAATCTCAAAATTAAGGTTTTAAGATCAGAATATAATCAAAGTCTATACTTGTAGTGGACTGGCAATGTAATCACTGCTGTTGCTCATCTAAATGTTCTTGTGATGTGGCTACAGATCTCAGACTTCGCTGGAGTGTGCCATGTGGACCCAACAGCGTCATTACTTTCCCTGGTGCTCCATGGCTCAAGCCATGGTACTGGTGGTCTTGGCCTGTTCTGCCATTGGGCATCCAATGGCATGAGCAACGCCGTCAAACTCTTGGGTAAGCCAACAGACTACACTCTGTAGTATACTGAAAGAAATTTGTCCTGAGAAAACAATTCAGACCTGAATTGAAACAGTTGTTGATAATGGGAAAAAAAATTACAATGATATTGAATTTTTGGTGCAGATATGGTGCTGAGGTACCAATGGTACTAATCCAATCTGTGATTTATCTGGGGATAATATTAGTTACGCGCCTGGCACGTCCAAACATCTCAAAGCTATGCTACAGGCGGTCAGACAAGAGCACATCCTTGATACAATTTGGCCTGAAGGTCGTTGCAATTTGGTCCATTCTTGCAGCCTACACGGTTCCCTTCTTCCTCATTCCTCGCACAGTCCATCCACTGCTGGGATGGGCATTGTATTTCCTAGGCACCTTTGCAATTTGCTCTACAGCAGTAAACACGTTTCTGCTGCCACTGGTTCCGGTTTTAGTCCCAGGGATCGGGATATTTGGGTCACTCCTTGTCATGGCATTTCCTTGGTACCAAGACGGAGTCATGAGGGCTTTAGCTGTTTTTGCCTATGCATTTTGCTGTGCACCTATTGCTTGGACATCACTTACCAAGGTCATGGCGTGTCTTCAGGTCTCCCTGGAAAGGGAGCAATTTTTGCCGAAGTTGGGTGATTCCCCACCTCCTTCAGGGTTTAACAAGTTGTATTAAGGTACATACAGGAATTAGCATGACATATGTTGTAATAGAATGGAGACAAGGATGAACATGATTCTTTTTTCTTGGGAAAGAAAGAAGACAATAGTTAACGACAATTTGACAGAGAGAATGTGAGTGGGATGTAGGAATCTGTCCATTGCTGTGATGAAATTTGCAATTTACACTCACCCAGGAAAAGCTGTCACGTCATTTGTAACAAAGATTTATCCAAATTTTGTGCTCAATAGAATTTTGGCCATTGAATTCTTACTTTCTTTTCTCTGATTTCTTTTATTCTTTTTTTACTGTCAGGATTGGTATTCTGATCTAATTTTTATGTAATATTCAACAATGTATTTTTTTACTAAACTTTTGATATTCAGTAATTATATTGAATTTTAATTAATTCGAAATTAAATTGCATCGAATCTCAGAGAAAGTTCTCTCTGGCTTCAACATTTGTTTCTCCATTTAAAAAATGATATTCAATAATGTTAAACACTAAGAAAAAATTATTTTCTATAATTACATTGGATCTCGAGAAAATCCTCTCAGTATTTATTTTTTTATTTATAAGACAATATTCAATAATGTTAAATACTAAGAAAAATTATTTTCTTCTGATAGTGTTAGAATAAAAGCAAAATAGTTTGTCAACATTTAGCAAGAAAAATCCATAGGGATTGGGCCCAATTATTATTATTATTTTTCGAAAAAGAATTAATTCGTTTCTCCAAAATTTTTGTAATTAAAAATAAATAAATGATGATGTTAAAAAAAAATAATGATGAATGAATATCAAAATAAAACAAATTAATATATTTTAATATTTAAAACGTTAAAACACTTAAAAATAAATATATAATAAATAAATTTAATAAAATTAAAATTTACATTATATTTTATAAATTCAATAATTATAATTAAATATTTTAATATTTTAAATATTAAAACGTTTTAATTTTTCTTTTTTTCTAATAGCGACATATACCAAAAAAGTGGTGCTATCTTTTACTGGGCCGTACTGAGGAGTCAGAGGTGGGTTTGTGCCATAATCATCCAGAAGGCATTGTGCGTCATCAGCCACGACCCGCATCCATTATCATTTAATCAAAGCAGATCAACGGCAACGATGACAAGAGAACATGAGTCCATACAGAGAGTGAATGACACTAGATCACTCCTCCTTGTCCACGAAATGCGGATTCTTCGGCGCCGATTAAGGTTAGGACTTTTATATCTGCGTGTGTTAAAAGGGCGGATGTAATAAATATATTTTTTATAATTAATTTTTATTAAAAATATAAATATTAATTTTAAAATTAATTAATTAAAATTATTTGTGTTAATAATATTAAAATATATATTAATTTTTATAATTTTTAATATATATTAATTATAAATATATATATATATATATATTACATGTTATTTGACAAATCCTTAAAAGTTATTAAACCTGTCAGGACTCGGGACTCGGGACTCGGGACCAGATCTTGAATTGTGCAGTATTTTTTTAGGTGATTTTATTTTATTTTTTTATTTTTTTATAAGGATAATGATTAATAAATTAATTTTATTAGTTGTTAGTAATTAAAATTCGATTTCCAAATTGGATGAATATTTCACCTCCCTCAATAAGAGGTGCGATTTATTGGGTCGCTTGATGGAGTTCTTTAGGTGATTTGATTGTCACGTTCTCAAATATAAAATTTTTGAAAAAATTTAATATAAAAAAATAATATATATTTATATTAAAAAATATGATATTAATCATTTAATATAACATTCTCTTGTTGTGATCCAATTGATGGTCAATTGTACCTTGATCTTTGTCAAAAACAAATATTAACCTAATTTCTAACCATTTTATCTGTAAAAAAAAAATCATTTAATGTATGGCAATAATAGCATTCTGACCGCTGCCGCCATATCCAATTCATATGGTGTCCCGACCTTTAATCAAGCATCTTAATTAATATTTTTTTAAAATTACATATTAATTTTGATTTTTTTAAAAAATTTAAATATTTTATTTTATTTTATCAAAATTTAATTGAAAATATAAAAAATTATTTTATTAAATATTCATATTTAAATTTAAAAATTAATTAAATTTTTATATTTAAAATTAAAATATTAATTTTTAAATATAAATTATGATTTTAATTTATCGAATTATACTATATATATATTGAATGGGCATTTTCATCAACAAAATTACGAAAGGGGAAATCATCGGTAGTCGAGGTTTTGGAATTTTTGTTTTCTGGTCTCAATTGGACAATTTTTCGACTTTTATTCTAGTCCCCGATGTTCAAAAGAACGGGTGGACCCACTATTCAGATATTTTCCATTTGTCCACATGTTTTTTTTTAAAGAATTTATTCATCTATATTATATTATAAAATAAATTTTTTTAATAAAAATAATTTTTAATATCAGGACGTGTTTTTATTTAAAATTTAAAATTTTATAATATAATAATAATAACACTTTTTAAATTTTTATAGTGGTCAATAATTTTATTTTAAGTAAATAATTAATTATTTATAGAAAAACCCCTCTATTATATAAAAATTAAAGTTTTATCTAAGGAAATAGCTGTTTCTCATAAAATCAAATGTTTTAGAATTCCAATGACAAAACATTTAACAATTGGAATTGGAAAGGGTCCTGTAGAGAATCCTTCATTCAATGGCAATTGACTTGGAAAGGGTCCTGCAGAGAACCCTTCATTCAATGGCGCAGTTGTTACGCCGTCTGGTCCGGACTTCTCAGAATTTTCCAAGCAAATTGCTGAGCAATGCAAAGCATCATAATTTGTAAGCACACTCCTCCTGGCTAATGTACAAGGAATTGGGAGCATAAATCCCCTAGAATAGACAAATAAAGTACAATAGAAGCTTGCTTTATTTCTAAGAAACGCATTTAAAAGAATATCCATAACATTGTAATACTAAACAGCATCTTATAGCCAACTGGAGATGGCCAAAATATATATATATATATAGAGACAACTGGAGGATCATAGAGCCTCCTCACATTATACAACAGTTCTGCTGTGACTCAAGCATCTCCGGTGACCTGCAGTTTGAAAGTGTTTGTTAGCCGTGAATAAAAGGGATATTGTTCTGAATGTCTAGCAAAGAAACGAAAATCGTTATTATTGAAAGAAAGGAGCCTAAAATTGCTGATGAATGATAATCTATGTTGAGCCAACAAGGCAGCATGAGAGCTTTCCTTAAATAGATGATGAGAACCAACATTGATATTTGTTCTTGATGTAGCTTTGCCAGCACAAAATCAATCATTGGCCTATTTTTGGGTGGAAAATACACACCTATAACCCAACCCATCAGCCATGCAGCATCCCAAGCATAAGGCCACAGGCAGGTTCAACACAAGGAAGAACTGCCTTCCTCAGATCAATTTCCAGCAGACATGCAACAATTGCTAACTCTATTGAGACTAAACAATTGAATCCTAATGCATAATGTTGTAATATGCTATTATAACCATTAGAAAAGTAGGGTACTTACAACTGGCCAAGTGCAGATAAATCTAAATCAGGAGATAGCTCTTGTACAAGATCGTTCGGTGGTTGGCCACATTCTTGCATTTTCTGCATGAGATCGAAAATCTTGGTGAAGTTACTAGGATCATTTTCATAAACTCCATTAAGCTCCTGTATAAGTTGATACTGGTGGGAGTAACGTTCATATTCCTCATTGCTCAAACTATCTTTATGCTCTTCTAACCACTTAGGGTATCTTTCACCAATTTCCTTCATGGGTTCATGAAGAATCTCTTTGGACAAAAGTTGCTGCATCATGTTCTCTACAATAGATTCCATATCCTGGTCAATGCAAAGAAATAATTTAGTATTTCTTAATGCACACGATGACTTATGAAGACTAAAATAATTCTAAAACATTTGAGAGCACTGAGTAGCATATTAGAAGAGTCTAAAACCCAGAAACCATTTAATAGCAAATACTGATTGAACCGCAAAGTTTGGCTTCAGACACCATAACTTTCTAGCAAAAAATCATAAAATAAGCTCCCTTGGTTTACAATTGTCACTATAGTGTGAACCAAATAGAATTTAGATGACTTCAAAAGATGAAAGCTTTAGAACCACTGACTTATGATATGTGAATACATCCTTATCCAATGAATCAATAAATCATGTGTATCAATAGACATGTGCATGCATCTTCATATTTACATATGTTTGGGTCCATAAAGCAACATGTGAAGGGGAAGGGAGGGTGGTTATCAAACAAAATGCCAGGCAGTACACATCTTCCAACTGCACCATGCAACACGAGCAAGCACAAAAAAGTGGCAGAAAGTACTCTGGTTACTAATCTTGTCACATGAATGTTGAGGCTATTCAAAGGAAGCAGCAAACATATTAAGACTAAAACCATAACAAACTCAAAATGTGTCCTTTAGGGGATATCCTAGAGGTTAAGAACCTTAGTCCCCACATTGGAAGCCTCACGTTTGAACATTAAGACAGGAAAAGAGGGCGTTTAGAAAAGGGGAGGGCTATCCCTCGTTGTATTGCCAAACCAGATCTACCAAATTTGAAACTGAACAATATCTTATTGACAATTCACAACAAAAAATACCAGAAAATCAAAGGAAAGTCTCTAATAAGAGGGATAAAAAAGACCAAGATAGAGAAAATATACCTGTGATCCACCAGCCATCTCCTCAAATTGCTTGATCCAATCCTCCACCAATGCATCTTTTCCAAAATCATCTGCACCAGGTTTTGCCATTGACTCCAAACCCTTGACAGCTTCTCTAGTCTGTTCCCTGAGCTTATCAAGAGCCTCGGTGACATGGGAATCCCTTGCAACCTTCTGCTTTCCCCTTTTCTTGCTGTTCAAGTCAGGTAATCCCATTCCCAATCCTCTAACCTCAGTAGGCAAGGAAGCAGATTCTTGCTTCTTTTCTTCACCAACCCCTCCTCCACTTCTGGATTCCAATACATTCTAAATACTTAGACATTGCACTAAAATTTCTAGCTTTTCAGTTGCATTGTGAACAAAGAAGAGAAAATTAGCACTGTACAGCGCATAGAAGAAAGCACAAAGTTCTGTAACTTAAGATGAAATACACAAAATCAACTTGAACAAATACCCATAATTGAATAATCAAATACACAGCTAATTACCAACAAATACCAAAAGGGTCAAGCTTTAGAGCAAAAAGAAGCAAAATTTAGCTTAAAAATAATGGCTTGAAACCCCGAAGCCAAAATTGAAGCTCGGAATACCGAATAAAGTTAGGATTTAAATTGTATAATTACACCAAGACAAATATAAATACCTTTGCGAGGGAGGAGTAAGATTGAGATTCTGGAAATCATCCAAAGCACCTGAAAATCAGCGGTTTTCAAACAGCAAATCCCTCAATGTATGGGAAAAAGGAAGAAACTTGTCAAAGACGGAGACTTACTATCAAGAAGTTGGTCTAAATCATCGGAGTGATCAGCCATTTTTCTTCCCTAAACAGCAAATCCCTCGCAGTGTCTGCACTTGGTCTTCGTTTTTGTTGATACCGATTTCGGATTTTTATCGTCGAGGAGAAGAGAATCGAATTGTGAAGCTGTGAGATTGCTGGCGCGGTGCGGTGCAGCGCAACTGATATGGTTGGAATCCACGGTTCAGATTGCTGCAATGGTTCGACTATTTGACCAATCAGGTCTAAAAAGAATGGACTCGGGTAATCCTCTGATTCGTTAAGCCATCAAACTTCTTTATTATTGGCAATTGAACCTTTTAAAAGTTTTCTTTAGCAAACCAGTCATACATTGGCCTTGGATTTTTATTTTTTCTAAACATGGTAGCTTTTGGCTCTTGCATGGAAAACATTCCTAAGAATGATTTTGTTAAATTAATTAAAAAATATGTTTCATTATTTAGACTATATTAGAATATAAAATTATAAAGATCAAATAAGAATTAAAAAATACTGTGTAATTTAAATTTAAATAATATTTAGTACATAATTTATAGTATAAAATAAAAATAAACTCTTTAATTATAAGATATAATTTTTTATTTAACAATTCTTATTTTACAATATATGAACCATAACGTTGGCTGAAATAAGTAAATATATCATCAAATAGTGGTAGGTGGATTTCTATAAATTAACAAGTTATGGGACTGATTTGCCACAAAAAACTATAAAGGTTCAACTGCGAATACAAAAGATGTGAATCACCAGACGCCATTGAACCTCAATCCAAGCTGAGAGAAGGGAAGCTTAAAATGGCGGCTGCTGCTGCTGCTTTAGCGCCAGCCACTTCTCTCCGGTCTAAATCTTCCTCCACCTTGCGATTCATCTTCTTCTGCTCCAAAAATCAAACAAGGTTCTCCTCTCTCCCGCCGGTTCCTCGCGGAACGTTCCCGTTTTCCTCTGTTATTCCTCGTCGGCGATGCTTCTCCTCATTGATTGCTAGGGCGGTACACTCAGGCGAGGAGACAAAGATGGAAGCTTTAGAAAAGAAGGGGAATGAAATGGGGAATAGAGTTGGGGAGTTCAGGAAGAAGCTTAAGATTGCTGATATAAAGGGAGGACCGGATGACGGTTTGAGTCGGGTCGGGCAGACGCTGGTGGTTATGGGTTGGGTTCGAACTCTCCGGGCTCAAAGCAGCGTCACATTCATTGAGGTAACGGTGGTTTCTGGCGTTTTGGGAGCTTAATTATGGTTGAGAAGTGCCTAATTTTGTAATCGGCATTAAATTTATAGGTAAATGATGGTTCATGTCTTTCAAATATGCAATGCGTGATGGACTCAGAAGCAGACGGTTATGATCAGGTATGATAGAATTCTCTATGCATGATGGTATCTTGGTATACTGTATCTAGTTGCCAGTTATATATACATTTCAAGCTTTAGGTGGAATCTGGCTTGATTTCAACTGGTGCATCTATATGGGTGCAAGGCATATTGGTGGCTAGCCAAGGATCAAAGCAGAAGGTGGAATTGAAGGTTGACAAACTTGTGGTGGTATGGTACTTACTTTCCCTTTTTATTTGTCAAAAGGACAATTGTTTTAGTTCAATTTGGTAGCAAGTTAACCATCCTTTCTTCCAAACTGAAGCACTAGCTATAGCAGTCAATTTTTTTTGGCAGGTTGGCAAATGTGATCTTTCCTTTCCCATTCAAAAGAAGAGAGTCAGTAGAGAATTTTTGAGAACTAAGGCTCATCTTCGTCCTAGAACAAACACATTCGGTGCAGTAGGTTTCTGCTTCATGCTTATCATTGTTGCAACATATTTCTGTTACTGGCTAACGTGGTATAATTGTTTCTTTTGGTCATGTGATACCATTTATTGAATGTGATTTAGACAAAGTTTCTCCCCTCTAATATTGGTTTTAGAACCTCTAGGGACAATATTCTTCTTCTTTCATGTCTGTTCATCTCTACAGATCTCCTTTGTCAATGTTGCAAACTTGATTTAGGTTGCAAGGGTGAGGAATGCTTTGGCATATGCTACACACAAGTTTTTCCAGGAAAATGGGTTTGTGTGGGTCTCAAGTCCTATTATTACAGCTTCAGATTGTGAAGGAGCAGGTGAACAGTTCTGCGTTACTACTTTGGTATGAACAAAAACTTTAGAGAATTGAGGCTTTTTGTTATTGCTAATTTATTTTATATTCTGTTTTACTATTAGTAAATACCACTCCAATGTAATTAACAATTTCTTATTCTATTTCTGGCCATTTGTTTGCTTTTGCCATTCGTTTCAACAGATTCCTAGTTCCCAAGAAGCTGACCAGTCTCCAGTGGCTGCCATTCCAAAAACAGAGAATGGATTAGTTGATTGGTCAAAAGTAAGTCTGATTTTCATTTGGATTTTAAATCTTCACTAAACAGCTTCAAAGGACTCCAAGTTAGTCCAAATTGACTTGTTGTACTCAAGATGAATCAGTACTTGATGTTAATTGTTTGCAGTCTCCATCTTTGTGAAAGCATGTTCTATTTTTGAAAGCCACTAATGTTATTCTCATGTTCTACTATAACATGCTAGGACTTTTTTGGGAAACCAGCATTCTTGACAGTCTCTGGCCAACTTAATGGTGAAACATATGCCACTGCTCTTTCAGATGTAATCTCCTCTCATGCTTCTGCTTTTCTTAATAACAGAAAGGAATTTTAGAAATAAAACAATATTAATTTTTCAGGTGTATACATTTGGTCCCACATTTCGGGCAGAAAATTCTAACACATCTAGGCACTTAGCTGAATTTTGGGTGAGCATTTTTTTAGTTTGGTCTTGTAACTTTTAACTTATAGTTTTATGTTTGTTCTTTTCCCTAGTGCAGTCCTCCTAGTTTTAGCATTATTACAATAGTCTTTGAATTTTCACCCTTTTTATAGATGATTGAACCAGAACTTGCATTTGCGGATCTGAATGATGACATGGCCTGTGCAACTGCCTATCTCCAGTATGTAGTATGTTACTTTTCTTCTCAATCTAACTCTTTACTTAGCAGATTCTACTGTCCCAAGGGAACACATCAAAAGTTCCTTAATAATTCTAGTATCTGTCTTTGTGAATTTTATAATGACATAATATTTTCATACATGGAAGGTGAGACATGTTCTCGAATATTGCAAGGAAGACATGGATTTTTTCAACACCTGGATTGAGAAAGGGATCATTGATCGATTGACTGTATGGTCTCCAGTTTCAACTTAGACCTTTCTCTCATGTATCTAATCTTTGTTTTTCCTTTTTCATTTTGAATTTTTCATTTTTGAAAGATTGTAGAGGGTATGGGTTGATGCATATATGTGTTATTCTTTTAATCTTCTCCAGTTGTTTTGGTCTGCCACTTGCAGAGACATTTAAGTTTTACAATTATTTCTTCAAGATTCCAGAAGACATAACTGATGCCATGTTATTGGATTGTATTTCTCTGGTCAACAGGCTGTGGTTGAGAAAGATTTTGTTCAGTTAACTTATACTGAAGCAATCGAACTTCTTCTAAGAGCAAAAAGGAAATTTGAATTTCCGGTACTGCATACTTGTCTTCTACTTCCCTTCAATGAATATTTTTAGAATATACTAGGACTGTTAGATAAATGATCAGTCTATTTTCAATGTTCCAGCAAAGTATATCTGCTTCCAGGGAAGGCCATTTACTGTTTGTTTTACCAGCATCTTGATGTCATTTGCTTACAACTGAACTGATGGTTTATGGTCTTCATAGCATCAAAATGAAAGAGAATGCTGGTTAAAGAAAAATCTTACTGGTAGTGGGACTTTAACTTCTTTGCAGGTTAAATGGGGATGTGACTTGCAAAGTGAACATGAACGCTACATAACTGAAGAGGCATATAATGGGTGCCCTGTTATTGTTAGAGACTACCCAAAGGTATAGAGTGTCCCTCTCTCGTCTCTCCTCTATTATTTTGGAGAAGAAAGTAGGTAATTATATACTTCTGTTTGCTATATTAATGTCTGAAAGTTCCCTATTGTAAAACTAGCAGGAGATCAAGGCATTCTATATGCGCCAAAATGATGATGGGAAAACTGTAGCAGCCATGGATATGCTGGTACCTCGGGTAAGTATAATGTTTCCAGAGTAAATTTCTAGAATCAAGTTTCTTCAATGCTCTTCAGTGCAAGTCACTACTGTTACTGTTCTCTTTTATTAGGTTGGTGAGCTTATTGGTGGGAGCCAAAGAGAAGAACGGCTTGACTATGTGGAAAATCGTTTAGATGAGTTGAAGCTGAATAGGGACAGCTACTGGTGGTACCTTGATCTGCGTCGTTATGGTTCAGGTTAGAGATCCCTTCTCCACAAAGTTCTACAATCTCGAGTCCCTATCACAATTTGGCAATCTTCCTATCTAGTATTCTCTTAATTTTACGATGCTTCTCTTCCATTTCACTTGTGTTTTATAATAACCCATTTCATTGCATCTACAATAAGTGGCTCTAGATTATATATCCAGTATGTCTCCTAATCTCCTGAATTTCTTCTTGTCAGTTCCTCATGCTGGCTTTGGACTAGGCTTTGAAAGACTAGTCCAGTTTGCAACTGGAATTGATAATATAAGAGATGCAATACCTTTTCCGCGAACACCTGGTTCAGCTGAATTTTAGAGGTGAAAGTGACAATTGTATTTTACAATTCTAAAGAGTTTTTGAAGCTACATCTCTGTTCAAAGGAAAGATTTCAAATCCATTTTATAGTGCCAAAACTTGTGGGCTGCTTTTACCCATTCAATTTTTTGTAAACAAGGTTTAATTAGTGAATGATATTAGACTTTTATACTCTTCATTTTCAATTCTTGTGTACTCGGTCTCTGCTCTTTCTTTTTATCTGGGATTCCATTTTATTCTCAGTCCATGATATAAAGAATTGGATCTATCTCTAATTGAGATTGATGAGGGGGTTTTTTTTTTTTTTTTGGAGTACGTTTTGAGATTGAGTTAATTTCATCATTAGACAAAACTGGTGCTACAGAATCATGCTCTTTTATTTTTAATAATTTTAATTTGATTTTTTAACTTTTCAAATATCAATTTTAAATAAAATTTAACAATTTATATTAAAAAATAATTAATTTTTTACATATTTTTATTTAATAAAAAATTTTCAATTATTATTCATATAATATATTAAAATTTCATCTAAAATTTATATTTAAAAAATAAAAAAATTTAAAATAAAACTCCTAAAAATGAACAGGAATAATAGCCACTTGGATATAATAAGTTAATACGACATATCGATTCAGCCGTCAAAATGATTCAAAATCGAACGTAAAGAGATCTCCAGCAATAATGTGGCCTCAACCATGATTGCTTTGCTTCAGTCATATAAAGATAGTTGAAAATACAAAATAATATAATGATCTTATTTTGCATTTTGCATTTTGCAAGTCAGTATATATCTCGAGGACATTCCTACTTTCTTCGAGGACATTCTTGATTCAAAAAATAAACAAATGAACTGTACATTGGAGTGGTGCCTGTTCTGGCTTCTGTTGCTTTTATAAAGGAAAAAAAAATTGGCTCCCCAAACCCTCAGCCATACAGAATTAAAAAATGAAAAAAAAAAAAAAAATTCTTCTTTGACCCTCAGACATGCAGATGATGAACCTAGTAGCATAACTAAATAACCCAACTGAAATTCAAAATACAAGGCAGAAGATTGAAAGGGATCAGAATACTTAGCTTTAAGAAGGTATATCTCGTTTCCTCCTTTAGGGAACCAATTTTGGTGGGTACCGCCTTTCTGGTGTATGCTTGAAAGATACAACAGTGAAGTATTGTATTTATGCAGGAACAAAACTTGATATTTACATCTTATGCAACTCCGGCTCAAAGTTCCACCTCATGCAATTCATCTCCAAAATTGCTGCTGCCATTCGTCGGACTAGGCATAAATGGAGGCATTCCAAATGCTTCTCTCTGAGGTTTCATTTCAGCCATAATAGGATGACTCTGTGTATCACTAAAGCTTCCACTCCACGAGGCTGTTCGTCTTGAGTGTGCTGGAAATCCATTGTTAATTTTCATACTGTCTTTCCTTTTGATGGTATCCATGCTTGGAACCCTTTGCATGGTCATTGATGTTGATGAGGGGTATTGGAAAGTGTCATTTTCAACAGATGTGGAAGGATTCCCGTTAGATGCATTTACGTCATGCGTACTCTCTACTATTGCCTCAGTTGTCTGTTCAACTGTTGATGTCGGGGTGGGAATGAAGAAATTTGCCTTTACAGCAGCAGCAGGCTTAACTGAGGATGGAGCAGGTGACTGGAACAGATTTGCCTGGCTTCCACCACCTTTGTTGAATGTGTCAACATACCTGTCAAAGTGTTTGAACATGTTTTATCAAAGATTAATTGCACTCATCATGTGGTTGCTAAATGGGAGAAAATGGAATTTCAAATATAATTCAATCATCTGAATTTACATGCAGCAACTCCAAATTACTGAATCATGTATGCAGACAACCTTTTGAATAAAAATATCTCCACATCTTTATAGGTTTTCATCAATTTTCCTTTGGATTACCTATTGAGCAACAGAATATGTGAATATCACACAGACCTTAAGATCAAACCAACAGAAAGTTGGGAGTAACTGTGTCTAATGGCAAAAATATAAAAATTACCCCAGTTTACTGACAGTTACAGAAGCAACATAAGAAGCTAAGACTATCCCATTCACCAATGACATTGGCAATGAAAGTTTACCCACCTAATGAATTTTGGGAGGATCTCACATGCATTCAGTTAATCTTTTTTATATTTCTTGAAACCTGACACTGATAGCTAATCACAAAATGAATACACACACGAACCTTAATTTTTCTGTTCATCCTTTTCCCTCAAAATGTTTGTTCCATCGCAACAATGGCATCACAGTAAAATTTGAAAGTAAGTATGAATGAAGAAGCTTCTGATTTACCTTGCCCTAACACCCACCCGTCCTCGAGCTGAGAATTGATTAGAGCTGGTAGGAATAGGTGGGATCCCAGAGGCATGCTCTGTTGTACTTGAATTTCTAAATTTTGGGCTTCTATTAGTAGGAGAACCCTCATCTTTAAGCGCAGAGTTCAAGTTGTACTCATGCATTCCATTCTGGAATGCTGCACTAGTTGGGGGTGGAGCTAAGGCTGCTTCTTCAGCTGGGGGTTCTGCACCTTCCTCAACCCATCGCTTTAGCTTTTCATCATAATAAAATCTATTTTTTTCACCCAGTTTAGCCTTCAGAAGCAAAACGAAAGAAATTAATTTGGAGATGTAAAAGGAAGTGTATCCATATTTATGCAACAGGAAAAAATATACAAACAAAAAAATTAAAGAATAATTCAAGGAACTAGCCTGTTTATCAGCACGTGGCCTTAAGACTAACCCTACAGTCTTTTGCAAAAGCTGTGAGCCAAAACCAAAACGGCCAAAGCGAGATGCCCCTCCATATGCGTTGCCTTCTGTACTAGATGAGGCCACTTCTGTTGATGAATCAACCTGATCCAAACAGAGGTAAGCATGAGCTGAAATTCTGTAAGTAGAAATCTTTTATTTTAGGATGAATATGCACCTGTCTAGGACTTCTACCAAAATCTGGCTCTGAAACACTCCTATTTTGCATTTTCATTTTGTTGCCATCAGCTGCCCACTGACTTACAGGCTCCATTGAAGCAGAAGGCAGTAAAGATGAGATGGCCATAGTTGATTGGCTAGCTGATACTCTAGGGCCTGCCAGCTGGTGATAAAGTTCATTACCTTGAGAATTTCCTTGTGATGTTGATGGCACAGATGGAGGATGGCCCCCAACAACAAAGTTAAGCAATTTACCAACTAATTTAGCAGGGGCCAAATTAGTGGCATATCCACCCTGTAAGTTGCTGAGTAAGGAAGATGGGAAGTCAATGAAGAGATACACAATGAAGAAATAACACATACCTGCTGATGGGTTCTTATCCTCTCCTCAAGAGATACAACAAATTGCTTCCATGTTTCAACCCCAGGGGCCCGGCCAGTTTTCAGAGATTTTAATACTGCTTGACAGTACCTGCATTACATTCATCATGTTAAGAAATAAAGGTAGAATTGCATTAAACACCACATAGAAACAAATTTAACATGCTTACTTCAGTGAATCTGAAACCTTTCCAATTTCAGCCAGCATGTGAGCATATATGAGTTTGTACGGTTGAAATGGCAGAAGGATGAACTGAGAGTTTCCCAGCACCTTTGAATATTCATATAACTCAGTCCTCTGCAATTAGAAATATCAATTGACAAACATTGTTATGAGTGTCATGCCAAATTTGATTGGGAAATCCAAGTCTATATTCTTTGCCACCAAAAAGTGTACATTACCACTAAAATTTTACCATATTTCATGTGTAATAAAATCAGTTCAACATGAATTTAATTCAACATTCATGGAAAGAGAAGACTTATGTCTCAGCAGCAGTTACCAGGAATCTGG